ACAAGAAGAGTAGGGGAAGCTTACACTCTGGTCCCTTCCTCATTTCTCCCGCCTTTGGCACACGTGTGTGTACACAGCCAGCATGTTTTTCAAGCAACCAGTAGTGAGACTCAAAACTTGCAATCAGCTATGTGGGATCCAGCTGCTTTAACTACTGGTGGCCTGGCCTCCATTATTGAGTGTCTTTTGCTTAGTGAGGAGTCCTGGTTACAGTTTTAGTGTGAATTAATCCTGATTGTTTCATTTCCTTTTTAACTTAGATATTTGATAACCAATCTCTCCCTCTTTGTAAGGAGAAAATACTGAATTTGTTAGGTATCTGTCTTATTTGCATAAACACATTAGTCTGTTTTAAATTCGTTTAAAACCTCTGTCCAGTACTGGACAGTTCCCATTTTTAAATGTTTCGTCTTCCTATAGATTCCAGAATGGAATGTGGGTGACTTCCCTTCTTGAATTACATTTACAAGGTGCACATTTTCATCCCTACAGAGTGGTTTTGTGTCCTGACTAGATACTGTATGGGTCATCTTTGGCCAGTTCTGTGTTCACTTTCCATAATGTCTTGAGGCATTGTAAGATACTAATAAATTAGTGACTAATGAGAAAACAGCCCACAAGCCTTCAAGGACTCTTAATCTAATGATTGAACCTGAAGTAGCCTTATTATCAAGACATGTACTTCATAAACAGTTCTTCATCTTTCTGTTTCCTTTGGTTGCAGATATTTTAGTTAATGTGCACATGACTTTGGTCTAATTCTGACACTTAGCCATTGATTCTAAATTCAGAAAGTTCAGTATTGCAGGAGAAGAAAATGAGCATAGTTGTAGTTCTGCTTTTGTTGTCCGGTTTTGTTTATTTGGTTTGAATAGGCAAATATTTATTTGATGTACATGTTATATGAGGAGACTTCAGGAAGTTTGTGGAACATGGAATTGAAATATGAATTTATTTTGGTTCAAAAATAATTAAAATCAATTTACAGCTTTTTCATGATACATATTTCCCACAAACATTTCAAAGACTTCCATTATCCGGCTTTGGCCTATGTGTTGGAAATACAGAAAGGGAAAAAATCTACGCTCTATCCTCACAGCATTTACATTCTGGTGAGAGTGTTGGGGATCAGGACAGTGATTGAACCTTTTTACATAAAGAGATACTTTATTCTCTTTCTGTCTCTTGCACACGTACTCTCTTACGGGTAAGCATCATTTTTATAAAGTGACAGTGCTCTGGGAGGAATATGTACTTAGGAAGAAAGGATTCATTTGTCTAAGAGGTGCCTCAGAAAAAGGTCACATTTGCACTAGGCCCTGGAGGAGATATTTTCAGGAGCTGGGGAATGAAGCAGTGGATTAAAGCACATTCTTAGGATAATGACATCAGCATATGGTACATTGTGGAAGCGCATGGTGTGTTCTGGGAAATAAGTGATTTAAGATTTTCTGGTAGTGACTTTTTCACACTTTTATGTATTTAAAAAAATATTTTATTTAACTTTATTTATTTAAATTTGCCCAGAGAGGGTCAGAGTGAGAGAGAAAGGAAGAAATTCAGCCAGCAGGTTCAGAACTCAAACCATGGTTGGCCATGTGGGAGTCCAGCACCCTTAACCACCATGCCACCTGCTGGCCCCAACACTTTTATTTTTTTAAAAAGAGAGAAAGAGCCTTTCTCTGTTGTCCATGCTGGCCTCAAACTTGCAATCCTCCTGCCTCAGCTTCTTACAGGTATATGCCACTGCTCCCAGGCTATTTTTTCACACCTTTTTTCCATATTTTAAAAAAATAAAAATTTTTGCCGTCAGACACCTGGGTTGGCCAGAGAGAGTCAGAGAGAGAGAGAGAGTGCTGGAGAAAGCATTCTGCTGTGGGACATGATCTGGTCACAATCTCTTCTCCATTTCTCCGTCTTTTCAGGATTATGGCCACACATGAACATGTGTCTGGCATGTTTTTCAAGCCATTTGGGCCAAGATTTGAACCACCCATCAGCCATGTGGGTTCTGACTCCCTTAACCATTAGGCCATGGGGACTGCCCCAAAATATAATTCTAAGAAAATTATCCTCATAATTTTCTACTTAGCTTGTTATTTTGTAAGAAGGTAGTAACAATCCTAATCTCAATGTATCTTGGAGTTGTTTGAAAAGGCATTTAGGATCATAGGATGTTGAACTTATATGTGGCATGTTTGTGCAGCTAGGATCAGTTTTTTTTTTTTTTTGAGAGGTTTTTGCTATAGGGCGTGTGTGCTCACCAGACAGACAGAGAGAGACATAGAGATAGAAAGCGAGAAATCACCCCCCAGGGGTGATGGTCACGCCGCAATCCCTTCTCCTCCATTCTCCTCTCGGGATCTTGGGCACGCACGCACATGCGCCCAGCGTGAGTTTAAGCCACCGGGTCTGGGACGCGAACCATGGTCGACTACGTGGGAGTCCAGCGACATAGCCATTACGCTAACTGCTGGTTCCCAAAATCAGTTTTGATTTCCACTCTGAGGAAATTTCTGATTGGGGATGGACTCTTTACCACAGCAGTAATATTAATCTTGAATAGCCACATGAAGAGGTTTTTGACATTTTGTCCTAAAAGAAATGTCAATGAAAGCTATAAAATGATACCAAAAGACGTTCATTAGAATGGGTAAAATAAAAAAGATAAACCATAACAATAGAGTCGTTCTTGACTTTACCTATACCTCTGACTTGAGTAACAGTGCTAAAAGCTGTGATGTGGCAAAAGAGTTTTTTTTTTACTCACCTTCATGTTTGAGGAGGAATGGATTGTTTTAATCTAGACCTTTATGGAAACTTGATTAAAATGGTTCTTTATATTTGGCTTGGTGTCCTACAGAGGGAGGCACCTGATGCTCTGGATTTCACTAGAATGACATTTTACATTTGTAGGACAGAACACTTCATTAGTGTGGATAGAGATGATGAGCCACTCAGAGCAATGGAGGCTATTTTTATCTATAGCCTGCAGAATGGAAATGGCTTACTTACTTAGATAGAGCTAGCTATCTCTGATGGTTAATGCAGAATAAAAAAAATAAAAAAGAACAAAAAACAAAAAAACAAACAAACAAAAAAAGTAGACCGGGAGTCCACAGTGGAAGCCATGATTGTATTGCCTTTGTTGGTACTTAACTTTGAGGGAGATAATTGTAGAAATTCATAAGGTACAATGACCACAGCTTCCTGTGGGCCTTGTCTCTGAACTACTTGTCGGCTATAGAAAAGCTTGCTTTCTTCCAAGTTCTTTCCAAAACCTTTTATTAGATCCTCTTAGTAATTTTAAGATTGGGACCAGGAGATGGCATAATGGTTATGTTGCTGGACTCGCATGTAACCAACTGCAGTTTGAGTCCCAGACCAGCGGCTTAAAACTCACACTGGGTGCATGTGCGTGGGTGCCCAAAATCCCAAGAGAAGAATGGAGGAGAAGGATTGTGGCGTGGTCATCCTCTCTGGGGGGTGATTTCTTGCTGTCTCTGTCTTTCTTTCTCTCTCTCTGGTGAGTGCACGTGCCCTAGAGCAAAAATTCTCTCTATTAAAAAATAAAATTAAGATTACTCTTGAAACTTTGACTGACGTCTTTCATTTTTTTACTTCTTTGTAGAGTTTCTTAACATTTTGACTTCTCTTCTAAGGTCTGTGAGCCCCAGGTACTTAGAGAATAAGGAGAATCATGCATAAGTCTTTTTGGATCTTTGAGCTGAGTTTATTAAGCAGTGTTTGCTGTAATGCAGACATGTTCTTCATGTCTGAGACTGTTAAAAATGAAGTAGAATTTTCGTAGCTATTGTTACGAATAACTCAAATGATACATTCCTCAGTATAGTCATGATTTATTTCACTTGTTCAGTCTGTAAAGTTTTTTTTTTTATTTTTAATTTCTGTTATAGGACAAGTGCACTCACTGGAGAAAGAGAGAGAGAGAGAGAGGCAGAGACAGCGGGAAAGTGAGAAGTCATCCCTCAGGGGTGAATGGCCACACTGCTATCCCTGCTCCTCTTATTCTCCTCTTGGGATTTTTGCTACACATGCACACGTACCCTATGTGTTCTTTTCAAGCCTCTGGGTCCCGGACTCATATCTCTGGGTTGGCCATGTACGATCCAGGGCCTTACCACCATGCCACCTTTTCCTCCCCCTGCCCTTTTTTTTACACTGTTGCAGTGTCTCCCATTTGCCAGCTACTGTGCAAAGTGAGTATGAAATGGGTACCTCTGCCAGTTTTCTTTTCCCTCTTGTTTCCCAAACTCAAAAGGGCAGCCACTCTCAAACAAGATCCCAGGAGGTCTCTAAGGATTTTTCGAGTATCTGATATTGCTATATGGCTGTAGTAGACCACATACTGAGTGCGGGGAGTATAGACTTGGAAAAATGATTTCTAGTCCCCACAGAACTTAGGGTCTAATGAATAGATTCATACAATGTGTGGCCTTTTGATAATTATTTTTTTATTTAGGAGTTTTTTTAAAAATAATTATTTTATTTAACTTTATTTTATTTATGTATTTATTATTTATTTTAATTTGACCAGAGGGGGAAAGTGAGAAAGCCAGCTGCCAGGTCTGGGACTCTAACCATGGTTGGCCATGTGAGAGTCCAGTGTCCTTAACTACCACACCACCCGCCAGGCCTGGATTTTTTTTTTTTTCCCTTTGTTTTTGTTATAACTATGCTAGTGAGTATGAAGTGGAAACTCACTAGTTTGATTTGTATTTCCCTGATGACTCAAGATGTTGATCTTTGTCCTGCATTTTTTTTCAGGATTCTTTCCCCCGTCAAGGCGTGTGTGCTAGCCAGAGAGAGAGACAGAGACAGAGAGGGAGAAAGCACCCTCAGTGGGGTGTGGTCATACCACATGCAATCCCTTCCCCATTTCTCCATCCTGGGATTTTGGGGACATGTACACATGTGCTCAACATATTTTTTCAGTTGCTGAGGCTGAGATTCAAACCATGGTTGGAAATGTGGGTTCTGGCTCCCTTAACCATTGGGCTATAGGGCTGGCCCTTGGGTCTGCCTTTTTTTCAGTAAAAATCTTCACTTTGTGTTCAGTCAGTGCTGAGAATATAGCTGTGAGCAAGGCAGCTCCAGTTGCTGCCCTGAATTTAGAGTTAAGGCGGGAAGATAGATAGGTACTGAATCATGGCAATTAGTGTTTTAATAACGAATTATAGAGGACATAGACACTTAGTAACCTTTTTTGGATTTTCTAATTTAGTAAGTTAAGTTTGTTTGTTTGAAGGTTTTCACCATAGGGCACATGCATTCCCTGGAGAGAGACAGTGAGAGGGAAAGCGAGAAGTTGCCCTCCCCCAGAGGAGCTGGCCACACCATAATCCCTTGTCCTCCTCTTGCCTCCTGGAATTTTGGGCACATATGTACATGTACCTGGTGTGATTTGCAAGCTACCAGGTCTAGGACTTGAGCCACAGTGGCCATGTGAGAGTCCAGTGCTTTAACAACAGCTAACATAGTAATTTAAGTCTTTTCCATTTTCTTTTGTGGCCAAAATTCTTACAATGGGGATTTAATTATTACATGGCATCTTTACATTTGCTTTTGTCCAATGTAATTCATAAGAGATGAGAGCATATTAGAGGAAAAACAACCACAAATACATAAAGAAAAGAGTGGAATATTTTCCCTGACTCTGCATTCCAGCCATTAGAAGTCTGGGTGTCTATTCAGGGCCTATTTCCATCGTGTAAGCAAATTTGGGTCACGTAGAGAATTCGCACTTTTTTTTTGACTAGTGATCTACTTTTATTGGGATTGAGAGTGACTTTACTAATATCATGGTGAGTTCTGTGGCAAAGGTTTACTAACTCTTGCTTACCAATGGGCTGGGAACTTTACCCCTTTCATAGGTCCACTTGGCTGTGGTGATGCTGACTTCCTGTTTCTCCTTCACTGCAGATGGTCCCCATCCCTGCGGGGGTATTTACCATGGGCACAGATGATCCTCAGATAAAGCAGGATGGGGAAGCACCTGCAAGGAGAGTTGCTATTGATGCCTTTTACATGGATGCCTATGAAGTCAGCAACGCGGAATTTGAGAAGTTTGTCAACTCAACTGGCTATTTGACAGAGGTAATGGGGTTGGGGATAGGAAGGAAAACTTGTTCTTTTCCAGAACTTTTAGGATTACTTTAATAATAGCTCACTGTTGACTAATCACTTTGACTGTGTTGAGTCCTTTGTATCTGCTTGATCTAATTTTTCATGGCAACCTCATGAGGCAGGGTGTTTTCAGGTGGCAAACTGAGGATTAGGAAAGTGATTTGCACCCAGTTGCACAACTAGTTACTGATAGAGCTGGGAATCAAGCCTGGCCAGTGTGACTCCAGAGGCTGTGTTACTAACCCTTGTTCTACATTGTGCTAATGGTTTAATATGCAAGGGAGTGCCACTGTCCACTTGGGCTTTTTGAAATGACAGATGACAACTGGCAGGCAAAGTAAGGTCACTTTTCCTTCTCAATAAATTGTATTTTGATTGTTCTAGAAGCAGTATGTACTTCATAAGTGATAGATGCAGAAGCATGATTTTTCATTCTTATGGCTTTATTCCAATACCTTGATGACTCACGGTCACTCCTGTGGGAATTCCAGGCATCCTGTGGTCACTAAGTACAAAGTAAGATTCTAGAAGTGGATGTTTGTCCTAGGAAGAGGAAACTTTCTAGTTTATGAACCTTTCTATGAGTGTCCAAAATATACTTTTTTCTTTCCTTTTTTTTGAGAGATTTTTGCTATAGGGTGTGTGCACTCGCCAGAAAGACAGAGAGACAGAAAGTGAGAAATCACCCTCCCCTTGGGGGGGCGATGACCACACTGCAATCCCTTCTCTTCCATTCTTCTCTCGGGATCTTGGGCACGCACACACACGTGCCAGATGTGAGTTTAAGCCATTGGTTCTGGGACTCGAACTGTGGTCAACTGCATGGGAATCCAGCAATGTAGCCATTACACCAACTGCTGGTCCCTCTTTCTTTTCTTTCTTAATTGTTAGAGGATCTGTGCACTTGCCAGGGAGGAAAAAAAAAAATAGAGAGGGTGAGCGAGAAATGAAAGTACCTCTGAAGTGCGACATGGTTGCATTGCAATCCCTTTTCCTCCATTTTTCCTTCCAGTTAGGATTTTGGGCACTAGTCACACATGCCTGGAATGTTTTTCAAATTGCTGAGGCTGGAATTGTGTGATGGGAGCTGTCTCTTCATGCACAGTGCTTGACCATCATACTATAGGGGCAGGCCCTGAAATATACTTGTTTTATATATTTTATACATTTTTCTCACCAAAATTTTACCCTTGTCTTCAGTTTGTGGAGTCCCTATTCTGTTTTTTTTTTTTTTTTCTTTTCAATGTACAACCTTTTTAAAATTAAAACAATTTGAGGGGCTGTCAGGTGATGTGGTGGTGAAGGCTCTGGACTCCCACATGACCTACCGCAGTTCAAGTGCTGAACTGCAGCTTGAAAATCATGCCAGGTACATGTGCGTGTGTGCTCAAAATCCTGAGAGGAGAATGAAGGAGAAGTGACAGCAGCGTGACCATCCCCCTGGGGTGTAATTTCTCACTTTCTTCTCTCTCTGTCTCTTCAGCAACTGCACATGCCCTATAGCAATAATCTTTAAAGAAAAAAGAAAGAAATTTGAGAGTAAATGCTGAGAGCAAAACAACATTCAAATTTGTTTTTGTGTTGTTTTTTCTTTGGAATTGCCTAAAATATGTAAAGTGGCTCTAACCCTTTTCTATATGTATTTATAGTAAGAAAAATTTCCTGTTCTCTTGTTTCTTTTTTTTTTTTGGAGAGATTTTTCACTATAGGGCGCGTGCACTCGCCAGACAGACAGACAGAGAGAGACATTAGAGACAGAAAGCGAGAAATCACCCCCCAGGGGGGATGGTCACGCCGCAATCCCTTCTCCTCCATTCTCCTCTCGGGATCTTGGGCACGCATGCACACGCGCCCAGCATGAGTTTTAAGCCACCGGGTCCGGGACACGAATCGCAGTCGACTACGTGGGAGTCCAGCGACATAGCCATTACGCTAACTGCTGGTTCCCCTCTTGTTTCTTTTTGATATGCTTAGATCAAGTTCCTCAGTGGTCTACTTAAGTTAAAAGATGATTTCTAAGGAAAAAAGTCTTTCCTTAGACTCAATTCTCCATGAATATTTTGCCTTCTGAGATGAAATGAAGTTGTAATTATTTTCTTGCTTTCTATTTTTTTTTTCTTTTGTCTGCATCCCCACATAAGGTCAGTAAGAACAGGGACCCCAATTCACATGTTAGATGTTTGATAAATGTTTGTTGAATGACTAAATGGCTTAGGTACTTAGGCATGGTGGTGTCACAAGGGAATACAGGAAGATGATCAGAGGTCAAGGAAAGATGATAAGCTCCATTCAGAAACAGGGTTTGGATCTTGTACTTAGTTAATTTCATCTAATGAGAATAGGACAGGACTAAGAGTAGAGACTTCAGTCATATGAAGTTAAGGTGATGAGATTGTAGAGGTGGTCCAGTAGCTGATCTCAGAGTCCATCTCTTGAACTACCTGCATTAGAACGACCAGCTGTGCTGTTCGCATGTGCAAATTCCTTGGCCTTACCCCAGATCCCCAGAATCAAAATCTCTAGTGTTGGAGAACAGCAGTCTGTGGTTTTAATAAGGTAGTCATGTCCTCTCAACTACATGAAGTCAGAGAGCCATTAGTGTAGCGTACAAAGTGCTGAGGGACCAGCAGATGTTGTAATGGTTATGTCACTGGACTCTCGCATAGTCAACCATGGTTTAAGTCCCTAACCTGGCAGCTTAAAACTCATGCTAGGTGCGAGTACATGCATGTCTGAGATCCTAAGAGGAGAATGGAGGAGAAGGGATTGTAACATGGCCACCCCCCTGGCAGGGGTGATTTCTTACTTTCTGTCTCTGTCTCTTTGGTGAGTGCACACACCCTAGAGTAAAAATTTCTTTAAAAAAAAAAACAAAAAGTGCTGAGAGCCAAGGGAAGAGCTCTGGAGGCCACAGAGTTTCAGGGCCTGAAGGAAGAGCCCATGAATTTCAGAAGATGAGTCAGAATAGCCTAAATGGAGAAGAAAAACTAGGGAAGTAAAGTTATGGACCCCAAGGACAGAGAACTCCATTGTCAGGATAGGGTCAAACAGATCAGAGAAAACCAGGTAAATTAGGATTTAAGACACTTAGATAACTACTTATTAATTTGTTTATTTTTGCGAGATAAGTTAATTTTTGACAGGACCTTTCCATGTCACAGTCCTTGTGCCCAGGTTCCCAGTTAGCTAGGTCTGCAGGTGTGTGCTGCCTCATCCACCCAGTCAGGTTGGGCAGGAATTGAACCTGGGCCTTTCCTGTGCCCTCAGCCTCCAACGAGTAGCATCTTGGCAATGCGTACTACTATGGCTGATTGCTAATGTTAAATAAAATAATTTTTTTTTCATTTCTGTCTGGTGCTTGAATTGACCACTTGAGATTTGTAAACACATTTGATACTCAACAATTAGTGCCTTTTAATTCTTTTAGCTAGATTCGAGGAGCAGGACAAAGAACAAAGCTTGATTATGTAATCGCATTTGTGCAGACGACTGTAGGTTGAGTATCCTTTGTCTGAAATGCTTGGAACCAGAACTATTTCAGATTTTGAATTACTTTTTAAATTTTGAAATATTTGTATATACATAATTTCTTGGAGATGGGACCCAAATCTGATATGAAATCCACCCAAATTTGATACAAAATTCACTACCCATAGCCTGTATAATTTTATACAATATACGTTTTTTTTTTTTTAATTTTTCAGATTAATTTTTTGCTATTGGGTGCATAAGCTCACTGAAGAGACAGAGAGAGAAAGCAAGAAATTACTCCCCAGGGATTTGGGCATGCCATAATCCCTTCTTCATTATCCTCTTGGGGCTATGGGCATGCATGCCCACGCACCCAGTGTGAGTTTTAAGCTTGCTGGGTCCAGGACTTGAACTGCGGCCAACTACATAGGAGTCCTTTATGCCATCTGCTGGTCCCTATAGTATTTTTTTTATCTCAGCGTTTTGACAGATCTGTCACATGTCTCGTGTGAAATTTTCCATTTGTGGCATTGTGTCCATACTCAACAAGTTTTAGATTTTGGAGCACTTTAGATGTTTGATTTTCGGATTAGGGATACTCTGTATGTCATTTTCCAAAGACATTTGTAATACTTGTTATTTGTCATACTTGGGGAAATGTGTTTTCTTCAACAGGGCATATGTTTTTCAAAGCTAATCACCTCCAGTCTGCTTTTCTTATCAGCCAAACAAGTCCTAAATGAAAATGGTTTCTGTAAGTGACATTAACTGGTTTTAAGTGGAAGCCAGCTGTTTTTAAGTCATTTCTGAGTCTTCTGGGAGGCCATAAGAAATTCACTTGGACAAGAACAATTACTTTAGTGGTGTGCAAAGAGTATGGTGCATGTAAAATATGTTATTACAACCTTTTCTGGATTTTTATTTCCCACTATCCTTATAGGCCGAGAAGTTTGGCGATTCCTTTGTCTTTGAAGGCATGTTGAGTGAGCAAGTGAAGACTGGTATCCAGCAGGCAGTAAGTCATGTTTAAATAGGCTTTTATATTTGTCTCAAGCTCATTGGAAAGGGTTTGGGTGAAAAATCCAGAGTAAAAGTGCCATCCTTTTCTCCTCCCTAACACCTGGCCATTGTATTACTGTACATTTGCCCATGGACACATACACTGTATCTTAAGGGAAAATGGAACCAGCCCAGGATGGTGTCAAGAAAGTGTTAGCTCCTCTTTGAGCGTCTGTCTTGTGTACTCGAATAACATATCGTGTTGCCACATAGAGTTCAACTGGACTCTGGATACTTTTAGATTTATTTTACTGACATCATTTCTTTTTTTTTTTCTTTTTTATTTTTTGTAAGGTTTTGTTGCCATGGGACATATTGGCTTGCCAGAGAGAGACAGAGACAATGAGAGACAAAGTGAGAAATCACCTCCCAGGGAGCATGTCCATACTGCATTCCCTTCTCCTCCAGTCTCATCTCCAAATTTTGGGCGCACATTTGTGTGTGCACATGTGCTTGGCGTGATTTTTTAAGCCACTGGATCTGGGACTTTAACTACTGTTAGCCATGTGGGAATCTAGCACCACACCATCTGGACCTTACTTATGGCATGTCTACAGTGGAGAGTTAAATGTGAATTTTCAAAAAATTTTGTTACTGAAGTCTTGATCTCATCAGATGCTGATGTGGAAATATAGCCTCCCATTTATTTTTTAATTTAAAAATAATTCATTTTTAAATTTATTTTTAATTGCCTGAGGCCATGTGTGTGTGTGAGAGAGAGAGAGAGAGAGAGAGAGAGAAAACACACCTCCCAATGGGATGTGGTTATGCTGCAGTCCCTACTCCTCTGTTTCAACATTGTTGGGATTTGGAGCATGTATGCACAAGTGCCTGATGTGGTTTTTTTTAAGCCTTTGGGGCTGGGGTTTGAATTGTTGGTTGGCCATGTGAAATCTGGCTCCCTCAAGCACTAAGCTATGTGGCCAGCCGAAGATTCCTATTAAAACATTCATGAATTCACATAATCAGAGTGGTGCTCATGAAAGGGACCCTTAATTCTGAACATTCATAGGAAGTGGAGGCAGGAACTGGTCTTTACGTGTAGGATACATCCACCCTTCCAGAGTTTTCAAGGAATATGAATTAGGTATGTTTTTCTCAGACATCATAGAAATGGTGGTTGTGGCTTCCATTAACACATATGGCGAGTGGAACTTGGGATGTACCAGACATTGTAGCAGATTTGTGTATGTTTGCATACCTGTCTCCTGAAACCATAAGAACGAGGGAGGGAGGGAGGGAGGGAGGGAGGGAGGGTGGACTGGGAAGGTGGGGGTTACAAGCCAAAG